AGAGGAATGAAGAATATAAGAGTGGAAAAAAACGAAGTGCCCTAGTGAGCTGCCCGTACTAGGTATACGTTGTTGCGACACTACTACGATCGACATGTAATTACTGTCGCAGTTAGGCCCCGTATGGTCGTCTGTTAAATGAGTGGTGGCATAACCTAAACTTCTATTTTGTGTACATTTATTATTATATACTACTGCAATATGTGGCGCGTGATATTTGTATTTTTATCGCCACGACTGATAAGTTGACTATTTCTAAAACCATGCCAACGTGAACAAATCTGTGTTATCACTAATATTACTAGGTACGGTTCATCTTAAATTTGCTTATTATATTTGAATTTTTTCTCTTTTTTATTAGCTTTTTATTTGCAAATTTTGTTATTAATGCTTTTTAGAATACCAGTTAATTGTTTCGTTGATTTCGACTGACAGATAACAATTTCAGTGGCAGCTGTACACAATAATATTAAATTGATAAAACATTAAAATTCTAGGATAAAGTCTTGAAAGATATTTTTGTGAGGTAATAGTTACATGTACTAATTTTAAAAAATAGTAATAATATTGCCACATTTGAATTACGCTAATAATCAGATTTACTTTTCAGGTTCAAGTATTAAAGTTGTATGTACTATTATGAAGTTTGCCCTAAATATCTGTTAATGTATGATCTAGTCAAAATACTATTTACCATGTGCTAATACAGTATTTGGCATTAAATTGACAAGTGTTGCAGCTTTATTATCATTACATTTTTTAAAATGAAGTCCATCAATAGCATGAGACTTAAGTTACTACTAGTTGTATTTGTGATCCTATTGTTCTGGCAGAGCTCCAAGCTCTGGTCACTGTATGGGGTACAACCAGAAGAAGTAAGAGAGTTGATTGAGAAGCATAGTGTTAACCAGCAAATATTAGTGAACGTTTACTACGAGGCGCTGTGCCCAGACTCAAGAAATTTCATCCTAAAACAACTAGTACCAACATTCAACAGTATTGAGGATTACATCGAATTGCAATTGATTCCATATGGAAAGGCCAAGACGAGAATTATTGAAAATGACTTTGAATTTGAGTGTCAGCATGGACCAGTTGAGTGTGAAGCTAATATATACCATGCATGTACTGTCAACAAGATCAGTGATTCCAGAAAACAGCTGAAACTAATAGCTTGTATGATTAAGGACAATACGCATCCCTCGCAAGATTTTGTTAGTTGTGGTAGTACATTACCCGAGTATGAGAGTATAAAAAGCTGTGCCCAGTCTACCGAGGGCAGAAGACTTTTGTCTAAATTTGGTCAAGTCACAGATGAACTGGAACCGAAAGTCAGTTTTATTCCAACCATTACTTTTGATAATGAAAAAAATAACGAAAGTAATCTAATACCAGCTCTGAAAAACTTGAAGCATGAGATATGTAAGCGTTTAAAAGACAAGCCCAGGGAATGTAGGAGATAAAAGATGCTTCCATTATGTTGTTCTGAAGCTGTAAACATAAAACTATCCATAAAAGGTCCAGAATGTAACAAAGAATCGCTATATTAATTAAAAACAAATTGATGAGTATTAAATAATTTATACCGTTAGGTGCATCGATGTACAGCTGTAAAAAAATTTTTTCGCCTAGAATACAAAGGTACAAAATTTGTTGCTCTCTGGAAATAATGTACATTTTTCCATTTATGGACTGTCAAAGTTCTCGTTATAATTTTGATATCTTTTTTTTATTTGCTACTGGTTATTACGTAAATTATTAAAAGAAAAAAATCCTAATATTGATAAATATTCGTAAAATATACAATAAAATAACTCAAATATAAAACAAAAAAATTGCTGGGATGCGTGTGGTGTGTCTTCAATGTTATTATGCTACTGTTGGCATTGAAAAGTTTCTTAAAGATTTAAAACTTGTTTAACAATTTATCTATTTTATTGTAATAAAAGAATAATTTTAAAAATGCTGTTGTACTATGACAGATTGTCGTTAAACAAAGATTTTTTTAATAGTAACGATCCAGTTTTTATTTTTAACAAATGTATAAAAAATATGAATTTTATTGTTCATAAAAAATTTAGTTACTGTTTAAATGATCTGCACAAACTTTTTTTCAATCTGTCAAAAAAATTAAATGAGCTTGATCCTCTTAATTTTAATTGTAACTTTTCTGTGATTGATATAGCAGTTACCCAACTACTAGCTAACCTTATCGACTAGATATTACTGCTTAATGCATGTACTTAGACTTGAACTGTAAACTTTATTATTCAAATTTGTTAATCTTATTACAACATATTTTTTACTTCACTATTATAAAATAAGAAAGTTTCTCAAGAAAAATCATATTAATAGTACGAACATCGCCCACATCCCTCATTTTTCATGACTGACGGTCCTGAAATTGACATTCTGTTTATGTCGGAAATTGGATTTACTAGGTAATGAAATCTGCTCTTACCACAATAATTTTTGTGACGTTTGATTATTTCAATGAGCTCACGTAATAATAAATAAATTCATAGTTTGTTTGAAGAAAAAGTGTTACATAAATATACATGATATTTAAAGGAGCTAAGACGTTACCAGTGCTTGAGTGCATCCAACTTTTGTAATGATAATAATTTTTAGAATGAAGGATATTTGTGTCCCAGTAAATTTTGTAGTAAGTAAGAAGCATTTCTACGTTTGTTATGATGGTACTAATTTTATGCCGAATAAAAATTAATTTTTATATAACTTTGCATCTTTGTTTTGTGACTAAACACATGATGTATACTTACTTAATCCCGTAAATTAGAAACTTGAACAATTAAAAATAATTGTTCGACCTCATTTTTCATGGACGTACGAAACCGTAGAAGAAGAATTATTGTTGAATAAGATCGACAAGTGTTAAAGTTAATAAATTTGAAATGAGCCTTTATTATCTGCTTGACTATTAGTTCCGTAAGTCAATCATAAATTTCTTGGTAATCGACACCTTTGTACAGCTGTGAAAATTAATGACTCATATCGTCGTTGTCGCACAGTCTCAAGGTCACGCACCTCGTACGCTGTTTACTTATACTGCAATGGCATTTTTCAAACTAACATAAATACATCAAGAGTTACGGTTTGTTTATTTGAAACTATATCCAATGTTTTCATAGTTCTGTACCCATTTTCTTGCATGAAATCACACATCAGAGCTTGATTAATTTCCTGCACATAATTTGAAGCTAAACATTGATCAAAAATATTCGAATTATCGATCTATGCAGCAGATTTCGATCAAAAAACAACAACAATACGTTTCAAGTGCGTCAGACTCTCCCTCCCTGCGCCTATATCAAAATACGTCGATGCGTATGCAGTGGATGCGATGCCGTTTGCGGTCTCGGATCAAAATTAGCGCTTCGAAAAATTCCACGCGCAAGCTCTTCCCCTCCCGCTTTTCAAGAGCTTTCTCCCGACCAGCGTGTGCACACATGCGTGTGCGTCATGCGATCTGCGCGTCCGACATATATTTGCTCGACGCTCGCGGTTGGCGCAACTCTTTGCCCCTGGTGCTGCCACTTATTGATAAATACACCTATATGTTCCATGCCTGGCCGTTCGAGAGTGAGAATTGACGCGCGCGCGCTCGAGTTGCTTCAAGACTCACTGTGCACGCTACTTTTGCCGGAAATAGAGCCCGTGTTTTCAAAATACAGGCGACTCTCGAAGCAATCGGTTATTTTTTCGCTTTATTTATTTCTTTTCTTTTTTTTCTTTTTTTTCTTTTTTATTGTAAACATATGGTTGTGATTTGTTTTGGTGAAGAAGCAACGAGCTTAGTTTTTTCACAAGAAGATGTCGATTGGTGAGATTTTTCCCTTCTCCGGACCAACGATGTGTTTTTCCTTTTTTCGATTAGAAATATCAATTTGGTCATTGTCTGATTTTGTAGAACTAGTTTTGTTGCATCATATTTTTTGCCCCTCTAACTTTTTTTACATTTAGAAAATTGATTTCGTTTTTATGAATCGTAAGAAAATAAGTACGAGTTATTTCTGTTTGGTATATAATATTTTGTAAGTACAGGTACATGCTTCAGTTGGTTTTACAATTCAGCTGCAGCAGTATCTTTGATATTTTTTTCATAAATTTGTATTATACAATTACTTGAAGCTACAGCATCATTTTCCACCAGAACTCTGATACTTCAAAATTGTAACATAAATATGTAATACAGTAAACAAATGAACTGTTAATGTATTTATGAAAGTATCTATTTCAAACGTTTCAAAAAAATAGTTTGGATATTAAACTGCGATTTCATTTTACAAGTAGATATGTGTAGAGATTTTGGGTGTAGAAGTGATCCCCTCTTATCGACTTTACTACCTTGAAATCTGAAATGCTCAATGACCTTATGGACTGTTCTGATTCAAGTAAATACATATTATGTATAATTTTTTAGAACAAACGAAGGTGGGATATTTAAACTTATATGAACTTGCTTATCACTGTATAAAACATATTATTCATTAAAATCTATTTATATGTTTCATTTGTAAAACGTGATTAATTAATTTTCGTTAAGTTATTGAAAAATTCTTTCAGATGAACTTTAAAACGAGAGAGAACAAATAAAGTAAAAATTTTAATGTGACACTTTGCATCACGTGTAAGCCAAATTAGTGCGTTTGCTTACCAAATGTACAATTTTTTTCGCTTCTGCAAGAGGAAGGCAAGTCAGATACAATGTATTTCAATACGAGGGGTTGGAAGTAAATCTATTGCACGTGTAATATTAAAAAAAATTAAATTTTATCCAACGTATCACTATCGATGACAAAAGATTCTTACCAAGCTCTAAAATGAACAGTTCAGCAAACACAAGGTTCTCCCAAGAGGCTAATAATCTCGACTGTAAACTTTTTTTTTTTCGAAACTCGATCTGGCCCACTGACTTAGTGTAGTAACGCAAGCGCTCTTTTTCCCTCGAGAAAAAGTTGCCGTGGTAAAATCAAAGCTCATTGAACGGCTTTTTGACGATTTTTGGCCGAGAGCCACGCTTCCGGGAATGTCTCTCTCAGTGGAGTCGACGCCTGCTTTCAGCCTCTGGCAGAGAAGCAGCCTAGTCTCTACTGAGACAAAGACGGCTGCTTTTTTTTCTCCGGCGCCTTTTGTTTATTTTGCTTTTCTTTCCACTACCCCAGTGTAACTAAATAGACGTGATTATATATATATATATTTATTTTTTTTTTGTCTATCATTTCACTAATCGTTCCATAGGCCTTAGAGATATAAATTTGATTCACGCTAATGGAGTAAAAGTAGAGAATTTATGATTAAAATTAATGTAAGTGTGCGCAATACTCTTACTTCTAGTAAGTTAATTGCAACGTAGCACTTCGCGTCATACCACTTTAAGTTGGAGCAAAAACCGATGGTGGAAGGTATGTCATCACGTCATTTTTAGTATGACTTTTTATAACATGTCTGACCATATCTTGACATCATCTACTTAACTCTGGAGATAATCTCGTGCGGAGAAGTTTCGAGTCGAAATGAAAGAGAAACATTGAATCTGTTTCAATTAAGGATGAAATATAATAGACAGTAGTTGCACGTTTTATGAAATTTTCACGAAATACCATGGCTGTTAGGGAGCACGGGTGTACATTGATTTTCCAAAACTCGACATGCCTCTAAATTTACGTGCGGCTAATCATGATTTCAAAACCAGCTTATTTACGAAACGGAAAACAAATCGGCATTCCAATCTCGCGTTCTTAAAACCACCATTCCCCCGAATATCCGTGCCCACCCACATAAAAAATCACTCGTAAAAAAATGCACGCACACACGGACATACGCATAGCCTCACAAGCTCGTGAAAGCTCTCGTTTGGTCAGGCGCACACAGCAGCAGTTTCAAGCTCAGCTTCTCACCACCGGCTGCTATTTATAAAAAGAGAAGTTAGCCGAGCCGAGGGTCACCGCTTAACCTTGTCCGCGACGTGAACCTACTGCGAGCTCGTGCATGTACATTGGACGCGTGTGCGTGTCACCTTACATCGCTGCGTTAATGGTCTCTTTTTCTTCGCCTTCTCTTCCGCGACGATCCAAATGGGTCAGCTTCGAGAGAATTCCCCGAACGACGATCATGTGTGGGCATGTGCATGGAAATCCAAAAGATTTCTGTGGACGTTCGTGCGCTTTCGTCGAGGAATGCTTTGGATATTAGATACATATGCTTGTATTTTTGACGTTCAGGTGGAATGAACTTTCGAGGCCGGAGCTGACTCCTTCGTTCTTTTAATTTTTCCGATGTTGCAAGCGATGTTGGACGTTTCGTGTGGTCTTTTATACTGTCTCAAGTAATAATAAAAATAGCCGTTTTCGTGAATTACACGGGAGAAACTGTAAATCAACAGCTTCTTATCGCCACCGATTATTTTATGGCATAAAGAACGCACGGTACTTTTCAGCATAATAATTTTTTTGAATTTTTACACCTTACTATTTAACCAAATAAACTATATGGATTCTGAAAAAATATGTTTTTAATAAGAAGATTTTTGTTCTGAGATGTATCAGGAATATGTGTAANGATGTTGGACGTTTCGTGTGGTCTTTTATACTGTCTCAAGTAATAATAAAAATAAAATAAAAAACTTTATAAATTGTTAAAGATGCGTGTATCGTATATTTGATAAGCTCTACGAGGCAGATCATGACGAATGTCAACCTGTAACGTTTTAGACAGAAACACCAGTGCATGCACACACGTATTTGAGCTCGTGAGACAACAATACATCAGAAAACTTGACTCGTGCGACAATTGTTTTTTTGTCAATGAGCGGCTTATCGAATGGAACGATATTTGGAGATGGACGCTTTGGGTCCGATTGCGCTGGCAAAGTGCCTTTAGTTTCGATAAACGTTAAATTAATCTTTATGATACTTCGTACGTTCAGAAAATATGTACTTCAATTTGCAAAGCGTTTTTCATGCTGTCGCCTCCTGTATTTACGATAATTCTCGTTCCACATACAAAATTGTCCGTACCCCTTCGATCTCACTATTTTCTCGATAAATCCATTAAAAACTAAACTAGTCCTCTTAAAGCCTTCTCGTGTGATCAATTTTTCCCCCGATTCTAATCCAGCTCTCTCTCTCTCTTTATCCATCTACCTCTTTCCTTTTATCTAACACTTATTAATGGGTGCCATCCAAATAGAGGGTCTTTTTTTTCTTGCGATTGTGTGGAGCCGGCTATCAATTACTCGGTAAAAGCGAGCTGGCCTTTGGAGTTTTTTACGACCCCGAGTGGGTGAAGGCTTTTTTTTTCGCTTCGCAGAGAAGAATCCGGGCAGTTGGTTTTTTTTCCTACCGAAAGAGCTCGGAGTTTGGAAAAGTTTTTGAGGATTCAGGGTTTTTATGTTGAGGTTGACGTATTGGCAGCATGAAATAACCAAATTCCTTCTATTGTACTATTTGATTGCGAATTTAATTTTAGAGCTTGAATAGAGAGTTTAGATAGTACTAAGATCACATTTTCGACCTTTAGAACTTTATTAGAAAAGATGTATCAGTATAATTTGGGTTGAACAATATGGCTAACGGTTAAAAAATACTGTTGCCAAGCCATAAGATACAATGTTGTAATCGTATGTATAATACAAAAACGTTAAAAATAGTGAGACCTAATTAGTGAATAAGCTTGAAATTGATTACTTGGTGTAGGTGTACTTGTGAGAGATTTTAGTCATTTAGATAATTTTTCGTTGTATTATTGGTCACCTTTTTGAAGATGCCATTTTGTAGAATTATTGTTTATTTAGGTAAAAACTATAACGCTAACTTTTTCCGAGAATCTGGAATTGTTTTTGTTATCAAGTAAACTAATCGGAGAGCCAAGGTACAGCATTACGTCTAAACGACGCAAGGATGGGGGAAATCTCTGTGACATTTCGATGTTATCCTGCCGGATCCAACGAATTATCTGTATTTCCCAGCCCCTGGCTCGAGCAACCTTGAGATAAGTGTGCCATTAAAGATGTTTTCTCCGTTTTGAAGCCAAGATTATTCTATATCTCGTTCGACTTTCCCTTTTACAAAAGAGATATTCTGTGAATCGTGGCTTGGGTTTTTAGTACCAAAGAATTTAGATAACAAATCGATATCCAAATTACGATACTGATGGTATTATTTATGAATCTGTTTGTTTGTTTTTTTTTTTTTTTCTGTTTTTTTCTTAAGATATTTTTTGTGCGATGTAATATCGATTTCGAGAGAAAAAAATTTTCAATAGCTGTTTAAAACACAATGTTTATTCCGAATGAAGATGTTATCTTGTCGTGTTTGAGCCGAGTAAGTAGATATACACCGATTATGGTCAGACGTAGCGTTTTCGAGCTCCATAGCCTGTACATGTCCGTTTGAAATGCGACACTTGTAAAATATGCTGCTTTTGCTAGTCCACAATGTTTTTCTAGTATCCAAATATTTAAAAAAAATTTCATTGGTCCGATATGCTTCATAAAAGTATTAGAGATACCCTTGTATTTTGTACGAATGATTTTTAGAGCTTCTCAAAACAAGGGATTACTTTTCTCGTTGCGAGATAATTTTTTCCCACGAGTATACCTTCTTCCTCATTACGAGAGAGAATTAACTCACAGAAATTTTGAGGGCACATTAACATTTCTAACATGCTCTGTCGTCCATACGAAACCCTCCCCACAATTCCTTCTTCTCGAGCCATTCCCTCGAAAATCCCAGCACACGTACAAAAAGACCTTTCGTCAATCATGCCCAGTACTCAAATGTACCATGAGAATGCGAGGCGACAATGCCGTCCCCGAGGGTCAACAACGCCGCGACCACGCCCTCCACAATAAGCGCGCGCGCCGGCTCTTTGACTTTGCAAGCACTGGTCTGTTTGCTCGCGTTTCTACCTTCCCAAACAAAATTGCGTTCCCTCATCCTTTCGCGCGAGTATAAAATTTAATCCGTGCACCCCGAGGCACGATGAATAAAAAAAAAAAAAAAAGAGCTGCACTGCGAGCACCTTTGCTGATTAGCTCAGCTCGTCAGGAGCGGAGGGTTAATCTGGAAGCGCAGCGAGCCTCTGAGTTGAATTTCATTGGAGGTGAAAGGAGCGTGTGTATACGTAAATAATATTCACTTGGAAAAACAGAAGCTTCGACCGCACAATTGTGCGCGCACGAGATAATCCGACGAATCGATGACGGACGGTGACGGAAAAGAGAGCGACGATCCAATCAAAACGACAGAGATACAATAAGCTATAACTTTTGACCCAGATATACCGGCTCTTTCTCTCTCGTACGGCGCGTTCGGCCGTGCAACGATAGATATACACACCTGATGGCTCGAGATGCAAACATTGCACGAACGCTCGTCCAAACAAACAGACAACACTGTACGTTCGAACAAAAAAAAAAAGAAAAAAAACATCCCCACACGTAGATGCACACAGAGGGGGAGGGAAGAAGAGAGCCTCTCTCGTCGGTCCCCTCGAATTTTATTCACACGGCCATTCATTCATTCACCTCGGTGGCACTCGCACCCCCCCCCCCACCTCTGTCCCTCTCTTCTGCATACATGACACCTAGTTCGAGCCGGCAGCTGTGATCCACCGCCACCCCTGACGCGCATGTGTGCAGGCGCCGTTCCCGAGGAGGCCCTTGCTCTTTCTCGTTCTTTTCCTCCCACGCCCAAAGCCAAACAGCATAAACGCCGAGCTCGACCGGCGGCTGTGACGGCCAGAGGCGCACTGGCCGCTTGCGTTGGCAATCCTCCCTTTTCTCATTATCCGCCGTCTTTCTCGATACATGTGCCGCGCGGGTGTCTCCTATATACACGTACACGACACGGGAAGTGGGAGAGCCAAGCCCCGATCGGAGGAGGAGAGGAAACAGGGGAGAGAGAACATCAGCCGCTCAGTTTCTGGCCAACCTCCGCGAGCGAGTGACGCGCGTAAGCGGTGGGTTCGCGCGTTTTACGGGGAGAAAAAGCACGGGCACCTGTATCGCGGACCTGTATAGGCGTGGATGTAGATGGATAGGGAAGTGAGCGGTGTACCGTTGTAATTTTTTATGACCGCTGTCTTTCTTTTTTTTTTTTTTTTTTTTTTTTTTCTTTCTCCGGTGCTCGTGGTAGAACATGCAATAGTGCGGGCTCGATAACCATCCTGGGAATGTCATCGTGAAGCCTTCTTTCTCTCACTCGCTCTATGTGCATGAGTTTCAGTCCAGCGATAATTTTTTTTCCCTCTTGTTTTCACCCCGAAGAGAGGAAGTACACTGTATACAGCGCGCGCACGGACTACACCCGTCTCGAAGGCGTGATTGTGTTGACGCGGAGGATGCACCTGTTCTCGGGCGTGCTGGTCCTTGCGCTTGAAAAATTTTTCATCCCGTTGTCCTGTGCAATTCAATTGGTGGTTACTCGATAATATACGCACATAAAGAGAAGCGCTGCTATTGCACAAGCCTAGACGAAAACGATTGGGGAAAAAAGTTGTCAAAGGATAATTCGACACATGTTGGTGGTTCGTGTCGTTCCTTGATATTGGAAAACAAGAGTGGCAAGAGGAGGATATACAACGGTGATACTTGAGAGCTTGTACAGTATTGTATAGTTAAGAGGGTGTGATACAAGAGATCAGAAGAGCGGAGCGCGGAGCTGAAAGGAACCAGACGCAATAGCTGTCTCGGTGACAGTCGGAGGTGCCGGGACCACCCGGCCGGCCTGCAGCGCCGGAATACTGGCACGGTATATATTATGCTCAGCGTTATTTTAATTTCTTTTTTTTTTTTTCCACGGTGGAGTAGCTTCCGAGGGGGTTGGATGTCGAGTTATTTTTCAATACATTCGGGAAACTCACGTATATCAATGCTCGATCAGAGGGGGATGATCGAGTGCGGGGAGTCACTGGGACTAAGGTATTTTCTGCCGAATCAAGAATTAATGAGAAAATAAATGGATAAATGGAGGTATTTGCGAGGGATGTACGCATTTTTTTTTTTTTTTTTCGCAAAGCTAGCTTTTGCAGGGACTGGTATTGCGCGGAAAATTGAACGCACCACTCGGGGCTGGAATCCTCCCTCCGTGGAATCCCGTGCGCCTCATCTCTGGGTATGATACATTTGAAAATTATTCCATCCATCTCGATTATTCATTGTTTTCCTCCCTCAAAAACAAGACATCCAATCCACCGTTGTTCCCCCAACGCCGACACTTTCAAATCAATTTGCCCAGCTGACGTACAATTACCCTAACCCCTCAATTAACAAAATCAGCCCCTGTTACGAAAATGAAGGGGGGGGGGGAATTCCCTCTCCAACACGCACGCGATCAAAGCTCGCAAGCTGGGATACACACACAGACAGACACTCAAGCTCGGGGGGATCGGTATATTTTTGGCCCAACGAGCAAAAAGCAGGTAAAGATCTACCAGTCGACAGCGGCCAATTTGGCATTACGCTTCTTTCCCTCATCCCCTGATTTAAAAGTAACGCGGAGCGCAAACAATGACACGGCGTTTTCGTATGTATAAATCACCAACGAAATAATACCAGCTTTGGGCCGCGCTACAATGTGAATTAAAGCCCGAGGGAGGAAGACCGACTGGCTGTGCTTTCTTACCGAATTAAACGAAAATGGCTGGAGCGCACGGGAAATCAAGGCTGTCGCGTCGAATAGGGGGACCCTCACTTTGTTTGATGACATTATGTTTTGAGATGTCCCTCCGAAATTTGTTGGTTCGCGAGTCGAATCATAACGAATCGCGTTGGTTAGGCCAAGTCAACGTGAACGTGATGTTTTCATTTCGTCACGTGCTGCACGTCACATTTCACGTGCTCAATCGTTACATCATACTTCTCGTTGGAAACGAAACGGTGAGGTGAAGCATTAAAATCATCTTGGGGTACGAAATTGAGTAAAAATTCCAAAATTCAATTACCAACGGCTTCATCGCACTAGATTTTATCTCCGAGTGGGTAGGCGCTCTGTCGCAAAAAGAAAAACCATTTGACCGTGAGTCGAAAAGCTCCATCGGTGCGTGGGAGGAGGCGACCCGGTAATCACGAACGCACGGAGGAAGTGCGCCAGCACTTTATAAGAAAGTTGGCTGTCTCGGGTCAGCGTTAATCACCCTGGCTCTCCGACTCTCTGGGCGAGCAGCGCTCAAGCTTTTTTCAACTTTTTTTTTTTTTCCACGCTCTGCTGGTTACTGGGATTTATTCGAGGATCAGCTAGGGTTTGTTACTGGAACTTTCATTGGTTGGCCCTTTTTTCGACCCTGTCTCTCGACCGACCGGAAGCAAATAAAAAATTACGATGCGAATACGTATATGTTGCCGAAAAACAATAGGATAATCAACGATTAGCGTCACTTGGCAGGATAGACACCGAGAGTCGTCGAGCTTGCCAATTAAAAGCAACGGCTGTGCACCGTGGTATACAGCTGTTGTGCGAAAAAAAAAAAAAATTAACTGTTGCCGGAAATCGAGGTTTTGCAATGTTCGCCTTCTCGTGAATATTGTTCGGCCGGAGACGAATTTTCGTTGAAAAATGTTGGGATCCACTGTTGGTGGATTTTTTGTCATGTGTGTTGGAAATTATGAGTGTGCGTGTAAGATCTTATACAAAGCTACACAGTGTAGGAATTCGAAAACAATTTTAATCGACACGACAGTGCATTCCATTCTAAAATTAGAGTACACAAAATCTTGATCTTGTCGACGTACGCGTGTGCGTAAAATCATTAAATTATTTGTACTAACATTGGAATTTAGAATTAGGTAGCACTGATTCTACATTTTATTTCAAGATTTGCTGAAAAAATAATTATTTAGTTACAAATACATTTCATTAAACAATAACTTTCTTTTGATAAACTAAAAGCCTTGAATTTTTTTTTCTGGAGTTTCGATTTGAGTGTGTCATTTGTAACTTGGCTGCACTAAGAATTTTTTTTACTTCTTTTTCGATTGTCAATTTTAATAGCAAACTTATTTGATTGTGGAACAACTCCCACAACTCTTTTTTTTAATTTTTTTTACTTTTGTCATTCAGCTTTTGTCATTCAGCTTTTGACTATTTATAAATTAATTTTGCTGCTCTAAATTTTCTCAAGTACTGAAAGCAATGCCAATCTCACTACAGGGGAAAGTTACCCTTTTCCATAAGCGTCGAGCAAAACCGATTATAGACTGAAAGTTAGATGTATAGTAGCTTCATGAATTATGAATTTTATACTTTAATGGCTTTAAAAACAAAAGGAGTGTAAGAGAGCTTGGGGAAGCAATTGAGCTGTCTTGCAGAGAAACTCTGTCGTGGGCGACAAATCAAATATTAAAGAGTTGTGGTATGTATGTGATTTCGCGTCTAATTAAATTGTGCAAACTCATTTTAATCTCTTTGAGAAGTTCTGTTCATTTAAACTTGTTATTAACAAGAAAATCATGACCTACACCTAGTAATTTATTTATTACGTTTAATATATTATTTATTTATTACGTTTTAATTAATTACAAATGTAAAGAAATATAAGGCATACGGTCCATTTCTTTTTTGTGAAGTAATCTTTTACTATTTATTAAATATCTTATAAATTAGAATGACGTTTTTTTCAATATGGAAAATAATATTTCGTAGTAGAGAAAATTTTGTGTCAAAATAATTTTACCTATAAATATATGTACATGAATTGTTACTAAGAATAACAACTTAAAATACGTTTAAAAATAATGTGATTAAGCTTTGTGTAAATAACCCAAAGAAAAAAAACAATTACACATGCCACTGTACCAAACAATTTCCGTTATCACCCACACCCGTGATCCCTGAAACTACAATAAGCAAAACGCTCTTTTCTCCTTTTCGCGCCTCTCACTTTTCTCTCATTTTACCGATGGAAAATAAAACGAGCTCTTTTACCCTTTTCAACAAGGTGTGGAAGCCTTTTCCTTTCAGGTACGATAATCTTCTCTTTTCCAGCGCGTGTGCGAGTGCAAGGGAAGCGAGTTCTTTTGAAATCCTCGGCTGTTTTGTTTTTTCTCAATTTTCTATAGCCCGCGAAAACTAAAAGACTCTGCTCTTTGAAACGCTTTGCGCGAAAACGCTATACTTTCACAAAAAAAAAAAAAAAAGAAAGAAAAATAACAACTGCACTTGTTTTTCAATTAGTTTTTCGAGGGAGGGAGAGGATTTTCTCGTTAACACGTGCGTTTGGATTTGACAATTATAATGGGAACGCAGGTGACATATAGGAGCAACATTTTTCACAACGAATACGTGAAACATATTAAGAGATTGTTTCTTTTGAGAGTACAGGTACAATCGAGATTTATGGAGGTTGTGTGAGTCGTGTCGTCTGACAGCTTTGATGGATTCCTTGACCAATTTTATTGAATAATCCAATGGGGAACCAGCAATGCACATTTTTTTCACAGTTGTGAAGGCTTCAAGAAGAAAAAACCTCCATCCCCTGTGATATCTTTCGAAAAAAGCATCTTTTCGCAGACCTGAGGACGCTCGAGTAGATATTTTTTCTGAAACTGATTATAAATGCGAACCGAGTTTGGATCCCGAGGACGTGACGACTCACTGTGGCCGGGTATTATCCATCTGTTGACACACGTGTCCTCTCATCCGGGCTTAAAGTCTCAGGGGTAATTACGTCATTGCTTCGTTAGACGCACTGTCTCCGACACCTACCCCCAAACGTACAAACACGTCACGAGTTGATTTTGAACAAATTCGCAGTAAAGTGCAATCCCTCCGAAATACCATCCCTCCGTTCGCTACGTGGAAAAACTTTCGAAAAGATAAAGCAGAGGGAACATCGATGAAATCGGCAGTTGGCGATAAGACGAGTGAAGCTGAGCGACAATGTCATCCGTTCTCCATCCCTTACGCGGGCGAAAGCTTGTCGCCCTCGGACGGGGGAAAAGATTTACGAGAGTTACACGCAGAAGATGCGCTTTCCTTCATCTCTCGAAAGCCCTTTTCTGGGATAAAAAGATACCGCCCGTCACGTTGAGATAAACAAGCCGGGAGAGGGATGGGGTAGTGACTCGCTCGAAATGTTTCATACATTTTCACACAAAGGATATATAAAATTGGAGTGGATCTTTGCTGTTCCAGCATGTGGTGTGAGCAACTTTGGTTGACAATGAGCACGAGCGCTCTTACGAAGCGGCGTGGGTTTTTTCGAGCTAATAATCATTGCATGGATTCATCAAAGATCACGTGATTCGCCCAAATCTCACCAAAAATCGCAGGACGAGTCAAGAAATACATTCGACCCCACTCACAGCTTCTTTTCTTACACTCTCTTACCCATACACGCAATGCAAGTCGGTGGACGATTTCTAAATGAACGAAAGGAGAAGCAAAGACATTCCTCGTCCTGTGTACGAAGGAATGAAGCGAGAGCAATTTTTTTTTTTATCGTGCGGCAGCTGGTGAGGTAGGGGGTATAAAAGGCGTCTCTACTCGAGTAATAATAAACTGCGTTACATCACCCTCTTAAATGCTAGGACTGAAGCTCTTAAGCATTAGGGCGTCTTCGCTCTGTTTAACCATAAATTTTCCAAAAAGTAACAATAATTCATCCCATGCAATATATTATACTCGTGAATAAGTGATCCGCAAAGTTTTGTAATCTTCATTATTTTTGCTCGAGGGTCAAGTAAGTAGGTACTCTTGGTTCCTCATAATTATCTCACGAGGCTTTTGAGGGGATTCGTTACAGCTGCTCATTA